TCTCATTTCTGTTTCCCAAATAAAGCTTTTTTACCTTGCCTGTAGTATCAAAGATTAAAGGGAAAGGTATATTAAATGTCTGTCGCCGTTGTCGTTGTTATTGCTGTTGTTAATAATTTGTCAATGTGTATACAATAACTTTTCTAATTATATTAGAAACTGTATCAAATTTGGTCACCTAAGTCATTAGTATAAAATCTATTGAATCTATGAATATATCATGCAATAATAGAGAAAGTAGTAGTCAAAATCTGATAAAAATTGACTGTTTGTTTAGGTCAGATGGGGAGGTCAAAAAGCGAAAATGAAAATGGGTTTTTAAATTGAAAGCTGAAATGATATTGAAAACACACGTCCACCATCGTACCGAAATAAGAAATCTCATTAAAACAATTGTTATGTTAATCTTAAAGCAATAGGCGGGAAAGTGGTTTTTCTGTAAATTCTGGTGGAAAATTTGCTTCAGGTGAAATATATTCACCATTAGTTCAAATGTCAACAAAATGAAAATGGAATTTAAAAACCAAAATAGATTTTAATAACCAAAATGGATTTTAAAAATGAAAATAGATTTAAGAAACGAAAATGGATTTTAAAAAAACGAAAATAAATTTTCAATAATGAAAATAGATTTTGAAAATGAAAATGGATTTTAAAAATGAAAACAGATTTTAAAATCAAAAATGGATGTAAAAAACAAAAATGGATTTAAACATTAGGTTCCAAAAAAACAAGTCTTAGAAACGAAAGTAGGTTTTAAAAAATCGATTTTAGATCCGAAAATTGATTATAACATAAAAATTAATTTTCAAAATGTAAGGCCAGACTTTTTTTATTCCTTGTTTCACGAGTTTTTATAAGGCAATTTTTTTGAGGAGGGCGGAAAAAATAAAATTAATTCTTTTTTCCAGTAGAATTGTGTGATTCTCAAAGAATTGTAAGTGAGATCATTGATCGGAGAGAAGAAATGAAATAACATTTTATTCCATGTATAACCTTGTTTCTCTGCGCGAGACTTCAGTACTTTGATCATGATGCTCCCACGAAAATGCAACTTGGATTTGTTATGCGGCGGGCGGTAAAAAAATGAAGATAAAAAAATTATTTTTTTAGCATTTTTTTGCGCTTACAAGTCGGCGGGCGCGAGAAATTACGCTGAAATAAAATTATATTTTTATTTCATTTTCGGCTCCTGTTCATTCGGCGTGTTCGCGAAACAAGGGATAATACAAATCTGGCTTAAATGAATAGTGAAAATGGTTTTATAAAATGCCATGTTGTGAGCCTACCGACTGCTACTTAACTTAGTAAGTATTCATCAAATCCTGAAACAGAAGCTTTCTGGGACGAAAATCAACATTTATTTGAAGAAATCCTTTTTTTACATGTGTTAATATTATTTTATAATGTTTTCTAAACTCCTAATTTATACGGCTCTTTTATTCACCACTGCTTACAAAATGTGTTCAGGGCGCTCTATGGGTATTCCTGCAAGTCAGATTATGCTTCAGATGGTTAACACAATAGGCTTTGAAAGATAGAACAACTGTTAAATGAAAAATATTTCGGAGAATTTGTTTTAACAAAACAATTATATAAAGTGATTCCCTCTAAAGAACCTTTAATCTGACATGCACTTGTGTAATTCTCAGTACCCTGGTTTATATTTCTGTAGCCATAAGAAGCTAATGTCAACATTTTCCAGTTGTGTGTATATTAATGACGGAGAGGACACAATTACAAGTTATATCAAACCATATTCTTATATATAGGGCTCTCAATTGTGACGAGAGCCCTCTATAGTTGACATCATTTTCTTTGTTTTTTGAGACGCAGGTCGGTCGCTATTATGAAAGTCAATGTTACTGATTGGCCTGTTTTGTATGTATTTAAATGAAGTCTATTGACAGCTGTTTTAAAAAGCCACCTCCTGTGTGGCTCACACATTGATATTTTTGACGAGACAGCGAATATATGGTTTTGAGTATTGATTTCTGCCATTGTGTGCAAACAATCGTAGTTTCATTGTTCATTGACTTTGAATAATTGATTCTGATCTCTGTTTTTTGTTGTATGGTCAAAATGGTTTCACCGCGTGTCTGAAGAGATGCACAATAAGTGTTCCAGGCTAAATCTGTTTATTAAATAATTTTGGAATTGTTTTAAGACATCTTTGCGTGTTTTTATGTATGTAGTGCAATGTTACACTGACCTGGATTTCAGCCCCAATGAAGATCATGTTTTGAAATCTGATAGGTTTTTTCTCTTGTTTACCACAACTTTCTACCTTCAGTTTGAACCATCTGCTTCAGAAACTTGACTGCAATGTCCCATATAATGTATCCATCGAAATGAAACTTGTCGAGTTTTTACAACTTTACAACACTTGTTTTCAGAGCTCTATTCCGGTTTTGTAGATAGTCAAAATAAATGAAACTGGTATTTATGTTAATTATGTAAGAGCAGGACCAGTATACAAGTGCATCACATTCAAATCGAATGTCAATTATAAGGTATCTTGGATATGTTAACTGCTTGTGATATTTGACCTTTTTTAATTTCTTTTTTAATTAGTGGTTGTTCAAATATTTGAGGAGTCGCGTGTAGCTATTGGCTAAACTTGTTGTACATACATTTAAATGAATATATTTAAGGGTATATTGGCAGGGTACGATGTTGGAATTCGTGTTTGGAATTCCTGGTTGTAAGATACTGTTTTGTTGTCTTCAGGATGCAGCATGCTGTGCGTTGTTTTCTTGGATGTTCAATTATGGATACAATTTTTGTTGTGAGTGGTTGATTAGTTGTGATGATTGGTTGTTGGATCATTAGTTTATACACCTCTGTAGCTTGAAATAGTATGGTCGATATGGCGGCCTCGTCTGAAAACATGAGACCACAATGCTTCTTGTATATTTATTATTTTTGTAGATTCGTTGAATGTGATGCCAGAAACAATAAAAGGTATGCTGAGCAAGATGTATTAATTTTGCTGGCAATATTTATTTTGTATTAGGAGCAAATTTTGTCACAATGCTA